TCAAAGTCATTCAAACAATTAATTACACCACCTTTTTCTGGCAATCGGAAATATTTTTTAGGTGCATCTTTCACATGTATAATCTTTGCCTTCTTTGTACTTACTAGATGGCCACTTTGAAGGGCTGGCCCTAGCAATTTCACTGAGTTGAACAAAATAATTCTGTCGTCCTGTCTCCCACATTTGCATGTCTAACTGCACTGACCAGTCAGAAGCTGTGAATCATTAAGAAATTCTGGGATGTCACCAATTGCCCAGTTTGTCCATAGGATGGTACTTCCTAATGGGCACAGAAATTATATAACAGAGCTAGGGCTGAAGGTATTAAGAGAAGCTGAAAAAACGAGATTCCAGCATATACTATTTTCATCATAATGGTCACATAATGTAAAGAAATGTACTGACTACTCTTGGCAGTATAGATTGGACACTTGACTTTCAAATCAGATTTCTACCCCTGTTGTGTTATGGCTAATGAACAGCAATTTTACTGAAAAAAAAAATGTTGAGATCTGGCATATCTTTTCTTTACATGAGTACTGAACGGACAAAAAGGCAAATACTGAATCTGGTAAAAATAACCCTTGGACTTTGATCTTTTGGTAGCATAACCCAGCTAATCCCTCTCGCTTGAATGGAGCAGAATTAAAAAACATGGTAAAACCAAGAAAGTGGAAGTCACGGCTGCATCTAATTTATCACTGTTATGATTAAAAGGCAGGCTCCAGACATAAGGGACCAAGAGAAAAAAAGAGCAGTTGGCTGGTTTTGTGCTAATGAATCTAGGTCTTGAAAGATATCAGGCATTTCTAAAGAAAGGCAGTAAGAACAGGAGACAGTAGATGAGGGCCAGCAGGGTAATGAAGGGCAAGAGCAGTTACTCCCGAAGAAAATTACTTCATTTTCTTCATTTACATTCTCTAGTAGCCTTACATGTCTAGTTCACATTTTGTTAGTAGGACTATACACAGGCACAGCACTACAATAGTATTCAAAGTGTACAGGGTAAAGCCTTGGAACATTCCACATAAGGAGCTTGGTTTTATTATTATTTGAGGGAGGGAGACTAAGTACAATGGCAGCAGAAGGGAAGGTTAGGCTTGCAAAGTGAGGTTTATCGTTCTGACAGAGGTGAGAAACACACAGAATTAAATTAAGACTGAAAGCACAGCAAGAAAGAAAAAATAAAACCAAAAACAAAAGCTAAACATACTCTGGAAGTGCATTCTATTTGGAAGACAGGGGGAAAAAATACAGTGGAGTTTGCCAATCAGAATTGATTTTTCACTCTGCAGTAGCAAGGAGAGATTATTTAAAGGCCAAAATGAAAAAGCCAGTGGGATGGCAACACATAGGTCCTATTCTATGGTTTGCAATACACATTTTCGTCTTGGCAAGAAACATGAGGTAGCTCAGAAACAATTCCAGAGTATATTTAGCTACTAAAGCTGCGGCACACAAATGTCACATTCCCATGAGTCAAACCTTTTAAAGAACCCCCTCTTAACACCCCCATAGATATTCCCCAAGATGCCTGCGCTGAATTAAAAGCTGAACATATGGATGGATGTGACATCATCAAAGCACCAGTGTCACAGAAAATAAAGCAGCAAGTGGATTCTGTACAATTAGTACAATTAGCGCAAAGTCATTTGTGAGTGCAGGAAAAGAAAGAAAACACTTTCCAAAGGAATAAACACAACCACTGAAGAACACCACAAAGCACTTTGCAAAACAAAAAGGGAATGTTAAAAAAAGAAAAAAAAATTCTTTGTGAACGTGTGAAAGGAAAAGAAATCCACAGCAAAAGTGAAAACAAAATCTCTATAAAAGAACAGTAAGCGTAAAATTGTCGGGTTTAATTCTTCATAACAACTCGTTCCTTTGCCCTTTTACAATATTGAAGCAAGAATAATTTTGGAACCAAGTGGGCTCTGACTGGGCAAGGCAAGGAGTAACAGCACACAAGTACACGATCATGATAAACACCCATGCGGTCACCTCTGCCGCCATTGTTGTTATTGTGTGTAGCCTGCTTCCAGCTTTGTCAATATTCATAATTAGACCCCAAAGAATGCATGATATTTAAATGACCCTGTCAAGTGCTAATAAGACTCTTTGGTAACCGTCACTCCCTAGGGAGGTAACTATTCAGTGCAAGCTACCTCATCCGTCAGTGAACTGAAGCAAAAATGATTAGAACCCAAGAGCTATACATTTATTAATATTTTCACTGTGTGCTGTTCTGGCACACCAGATGCTTTTAAGAAGTAGCCTTCCGTCCATTAAGATGTTGTTCTGTGTGGAACCACACATAGCAAATAATGTCATTAACATTCATATACACTTCTGCATTCATCTCTGGCACATTAAGGGACAGATCCTCTGCTACTGGTGTAATCTGGCATAGCTCCATTGCCATCTGTGGACCCACGCAACTGTATACCAGGAAAGAAGCTGACCTCAAGGCTTGTATCCCCAGTACAGATACAGACCAGGCCTTCTTAAAGACAAACCCTTCTTTGTCTCTTTTTCTGAGTGGGTGGGAGAAAGTCAGAACTTCCTTTTCGGGATTGTAGGGGAGAGAAGACATGAGCACTTCCTGAGACACCTTGCCTTTATCTCAGGAATGCTGTATGTGACCAAGAGGTGAACTGAAAAAAAAAATGACTGCTTTTCTGCCAGTAGCAACATCCCAGATAGCTTGACCAGACAAAACAGGAGTTGCAGATAAATCACCCGTTACCATTTCAGATTGTATGACGAGTTACTCTGTTTTACTTTCTATCTGGCAAGCAGAAAAGCGTTTCTCCCAATGTTGCTGTAGCAGAGCTAAAGACTAAGGCAGGGGTGGCCAAAGTCCTGCCCATGGGCCAGATAGGGCCCACAGCAGACTGTATTTCCCAGCAGCTCTTGCTGTGGCAGGTGCTTCTGGCTGCCACCGCCCGATCTAACCCTGCTGCCCGGGCATCCCAGACTGTCCTCCCTGCACTCACTACTGGGGTGGGACCTGTGCGAACAGGGCACATGGCCTGGTGGCTGGGATGGGGCTGTAGTTGGAAGTGAGATGGGCAGGTGGGGCTGAGGACACCCCAGGATCTTGGGAGGGCTGGGGCAGAACTGCAATCTGCTGGCCGCACACCACTGTGATGAGCAAGGGTTTCTTGGTCAGGGGTGTGTAGGGAGCAGATTGTGGCTCTGCCGCAGCCCCGTGCTGTCACTGCCCCGAGATCCGAGCTCTGCAGTAGCTCCCTGCCCAGCCGTGTACTCTGCCCACGCAGCTCCTGTCCAGCCAGTCTCCAGGAAGATGAGCTGGGGGGGGGGGGCC